GCAGTGGCCCAGGAGCTGCAGGATTTGGTCATGTTGGTGTGGGTTGGGAATGGGATGTCTTTCCCACTGGATTCTGAGATGTGGCAGGTGTTGTGGGAGAACCTGGAGGAGTTGGTGGAGCGAGGCCACCTGCCCTGCTGCAGCTCGTCCAGCTCCACCAAGAGCCCCCATTCCTCCAAGAGCCAGCTCCCATGGAGAACCTCTGTCCTTCCAAGAGCCCTCATCCGTCGGCAAGCCTCCGTCTTTTCAATATCCTCATTCCTGCCAAGAACTCGATGCCATAGGAGAGCCTTCATCCCTCTGAAAGCCTCCATTCCTTCCAAGAGCCTCCATTCCTCTGAGAGCTTCCACCTTCCAAGAGCCTGCATTCCTTCCACAGGCCTCCGTTCCCCTGAGAGCATGCACCTTTCAAGAGCTTCCATTAGTTCCACAAGGTTCCAGTCCTCTGAGAGCCTCACTTCTTCCCAGAGTCTTCATCCCTGCAAGAGCTTCAGTGAGAACTGCCAGACTCCAAATGGAGTAGCCCCCATAGACCACTCTCCCTGCTCCCTTGAAGCTGCAGGTATCAGCAGAACTCACTCATCCCTGAAGATGCACATGGCCAAGGAAAGCCTGGATGTAAAAATGGGAGCCCAGCCCATTCCAGTGATGTGTTCCCAGGAGCAAGCAGCACAGCAGGAAGAGTCCTGCAGCCACCAGTGTCCATCCCTTGACTGCTGGGATGCTGTGGCAGTGCCAACTGGGAACACCCCCTGTATTGGAGAAGCACAGAAGAGCGCACTCAGTGCAGGAGAAGATCCTCCAGTGGCAGAGGAAGTTGCAGATCCCCCATCTCCAGGGAGCTCTCCCCAGCCAGATGTTGAGGACCAGGATGAGGTTTCTGTTTGCAGCTTGGATACTTCTGCAGAGCATCTGTGTTAAATAAACCAGCTTCTTCCCAAAGAGCTGTGAGTGCTTCCACTGGTTTTGACTAGCACAAGGGAAAAAATCACAACAACTGTAGGAGTTCAAGCATAAGAAAATTCTTTACAGAGAGAGTAATCAGGCATTGGAATGGGCTGCCCAGAGAGGTGGTGGATTCACCATCCCTGGAGATTTTTAAACGCAGATTGGACGTGGCACTGAGTGCCATGATCTAGTAAATGGACTGGATTTGGACCAAGGGTTGGACTCAATGATCTCGGAGGTCTTATCCAACCCAATCGATTCTATGATTCTATGATTCTATAATAGTAGCTTCAATCAGCTATTGCACTTTATTAAGGGTGGTTCACTCTATTTATAGGGTAGGTAGGAAAGGCTCTAGAAAGACGGGAGGAGCATGGGACTGACAGAGGTTGTAACCAATCAGGGAAGGAAGGAGGGAACATGGGACTAACAAGGACCAATAAGGGAAACATCTGCATTGAAGCAAATCTTAGCCAATGAGAAAACAGCGGATAAACATGAGGGAAAAAATGCTATAAAACACGGTAAAAACAGGGGTACAATAAATTCAGTGCATGCATTAACAGTTTCTAATAGTCTTGTTCAGTTAACAGTCTATTCTGGTATGGTCGCAATGTAACACTTCACAGCATGTTCTGGTCTGCTGTTGCCTTGGCTAGTGTCCTTCGTAGCTGCTGTTTCCAAATAAGAAATTTCTCCTCTCACCACAGGTGCCCTCCACAAGGTTTCTGTTTGCAGCTTGGATACTTCTGCAGAGCATCTGTGTTAAATAAACCAGCTTCTTCCTGAAGAGCTGTGAGTGCTTCCAGTGGTTTGGTTTTGGCTGGCATAGGGGACATTTTCCAGACCTGGCTCCTGCATCTCCTGACGCTGGCCAGAGTGCAGGAATGAAGAGGGAACATGGCGCAGTGGAGCCTGAGTAGGAGAAAAGGCACCATCCTTGGCGACACTCCCTGTGCCATGGGGTGTCCATCAGCCTGTGGGACAGAAGCGAGAGGACTCCAACCCCTTGGGGGCCTGCCCTCCCTTTATTATCCCCCCGTTTTGGAGGGGATGTCCACATGTAAATGGCTTTTTGGATGCACTGAGCTGCTGGACAGGACAGTTGTACTAGTTTGTGCCTTCTCTGGGGGTGAGGAAATGTCACTGGGAGAGAAATGAAGTGGTGGGGGAGCAGGTGTTTGGGGGATGAGGGAGGGTCATGCAGGGTCCCTCCTAAAAAGTGATGTTACAGCCCCAAAGTGTCTGAAAATTCATGAAGGCTGTCTGTGCAAAATACTGAAAACTGTAAAGTTTCTCATTTTTATATATAATGGAAAAAATTAATTTAAACCCGTATCTGTTGTATTTTTGATTATAAGAAATTCTGGATATAACAACCCTTATCCCCAGCAAAGAAAGGCTGCAAGGTTTGGCCTTCTGGTGCAGTTGGTAGGCCAGTCTGGGCATTCTATGGGCAGCAAGAGCTTTCTGTGCTGGCACCTTTGGTCTGGGAGGAATCTTCATCCAAATGCAATTTTGGGAGTCAGGCTGGCACTTCCAGCTGATGGCTGAAAAAAACAAACAAGAGCCCTTTATCCCCAGCAAAGACAGCCAGGAATATTTGGCTTTCTGGTGCACTTGGTGGGCCAGCCTGGGCACTGCATGGGCAGCAAGAGCTTTCTGTGCTGGCACCTTTGGTGTGGGAGGAATCTAAATCCAAAAGCAATTTTGAAAGACCACCTGGCACTTCCAGCTCATGGCTGAAAAAAGCAAACAAGACTCCTTATCTCCTAGAAAGAAAGTCGGCAAACTTTGGCTTTCTGGTGCAGTTAGTGGGCCAGCTTGGGCACTCCACAGCAGCAAGAGCTTTCTCTGCCAGCAGATTTGGTCTGGGAGGAATCTTGGTGCGTATGGAATTTTGGGAGTCGTGCTGGCAGTGGCAGCTCATGGCTGAAAAAAGTAAACAACAGCATTCATCCTCTGCAAAGAAATCCTGGAAGCTTTGGCTTTCTGGTGCAGTTGGTGGACCACCCAGTACACTCCATGGGCAGCAGGATCTTTCTGCGCTGGCACCTTTGGTCTGGGAGGAATCTTCATCCGAATGCAATTTTGGGAGTCGGGCTGGCAGTTGCAGCACAGGGCTGAAAAAAGCAAACAAGAGCCCTTATTCCCAGCAAAGAAAGCCTGGAAGATTTGGCTTTCTTGTGCAGTTGGTAGGCCAGCCTGGGCATTGCATGAGTAGCAAGATCTTTCTATCCAGGAACCTTTTGTCTGGGAGGTATCTTTGTCCGTGTCAAATTTTGGAAGTCGGGTTGGCAGATTCAGGCAAGGGCTGAAAAAATCAAACAACAGCCCTTATCCCCTAGAAAGAAAGCCTGCAATCTTTGGGTTTCTGGTGCAGTTGGTGGGCCATCCTGGGCACTGCATGGGCAGCAAGAGCTTTCTCTGCTGGCAACTTTGGTCTTGGAGGAATCTTGTTCCAAATGCAATTTTGGGAGTAGGGGTGGCAGTTTCAGCACAGGGTAGAAAAAAGCAAATGACAGTCCTTCTCTCCAGCGAAGTAAGCCAGCAAACTTTAGCTTTCTTGTGTAGTTGGTGGGGAAGCCTGGGCACTCCATGGGCAGCAAGAGCTTTATATCCTGGCATTTTTGGTCTTGGAGAAGCCTGTTCCTCCCACATCAAAGCTACATGGATAAAAAGCTGCTGCTTCTAGGGGAGTCCCCAGGCTGACTCAGCAACTGCACCACAAAGCCAAAGCTTCCAGGCTTTCTTTCCTGGCCATAAGGGCTGTTGCTTCCTGTTTTCAGCCCTGTCTCACATCTGCCAGCCCAATTCCCAAAATTGCATACAGACAAAGATTCATCCCACAACAAAGATGCCAGCACAGAAAGCTCTTGCTACCCATGGAGTGCCCAGAATGACACAGCAACTGCACCACAAAGCCAGAGCTTCTAGACTTTCTTTCCTGGGGAAAAGTGCTTTTATTTCCTGTTTTCAGACCTGCCCTCTAACTGCCAGCACAACTCCCAGAATTGCATACAAACAAAGATTCCTCCCACACCAAAGGTGCCAGCACAGAAAGGTCTTCCTGCCCATGGAGTCCCCAAGCTGACTCAACAACTGCACCACAAAGCCAAAGCTTGCAGGCTTTCTTTCCTTTGGATAGGGGCTGTTGTTTCCTGTTTTCAGCCCTGCCTCCCAACTGCCAGCCCTACTCCCAAAATTGCATACAGACAAAGATTCCTCCCACATCAAAGGTGCCAGCACAGAAAGCACTTGCTGCTCGTGGAGTCCCCAGGTTGACACACCAACTGCACCACAAAGCCAAAGCTTCCAGTCTTTCTTTTCTGGGGTAATGGCTGTTGTTTCCTGTTTTCAGATCTGCCTCCCAACTGCCAGCCCGACTCCCAAAATTGCATACGGATGAAGATTTCTCCCACACCAAAAGTGCCAGCACGAAAAGTTCTTGCTGTTCATAGAGTTCTCAGTCTGACTCACCAATTGCAACACAAAGCCTAAGCTTCCAGTCTTTCTCTCCTGGGGATAATGGCTCTTGTTTCATTTTTCAGATCTGCCTCCCAACTGCCAGCCCGACTCCCAAAATTGCATACGGATGAAGATTTCTCCCAGACCAAAGGTGCCAGCACAAAAAGTTCTTGCTTCCCATGGAGTGCCCAGCCTGGCCAACCAACTGTACCACAAAGCCAAAGCTTCCAGCCTTTTTTTCCTGGCGATAAGGGCTGTTGTTTGCTTTTTTCAGCCCTGCCTCACATCTGCCACCCCGACTCCCAAAACTGCATACGGACGAAGATTCCTCCCACACCAAAGGTACCAGAACAGAAAGCTCTTGCTGCCCACGGAGTCCCCAAGCTGACTCAAGAACTGCACCACAAAGCCAAAGCTTCCAGGATTTCTTTCCTGGGGATAAACGCTCTTCTTTCCTGTTTTCAGCTTTGCTTCCCAACTGTCAATCCGACTCCCAAAATTGAATACAAAGAAAGATTCCTCCCACACCAAAGGTGCCAGCAGAGAAAGCTGCTGCTGCCCATGGAGGCCCCAGCCTGGCCCAGCAACTGCACCACAAAGCCAAAGCTTCCAGGCTTTCTTTCCTGGCCATAAGGGCTGTTGTTTCCTGTTTTCAGCCCTGCCTCCCAACTGCCAGTCCTACTCTCAAAACTGCATACGGACAAAGATTCCTCCCACACCAAAGGTACCAGCACAGAAAGGTCTTCCTGCCCATGGAGTCTCCAGGCTTACAAACCAACTGAACCACAAAGCCAAAGCTTCCATGCTTTCTTTCGTTTGGTTAGGGGCTGTTGATTCCTGTTTTCAGCCCTGCCTCCCAACTGCCAGCCCGACTCCCAAAATTGCATATGGACAAAGATTCCTCCCACACCAAAGGTGCCAGCACAGAAAGCGCTTGCTGTTCATTGAGTGCCCAGGCTGGTAAACCAACTGCATCACAAAGCCAAAGCTTGCAGGCTTGCTGTCATGGGGATAAGGGCTGTTGTTTCCTGTTTTCAGATCTGCATCCCAACTGCCAGTCCGACTCCCAAAATTGCATACAGACAAAGATTTCTCCCACACCAAAGGTGCCAGCACAGAAAGCTCTTGCTGCTTGTGGAGTCCCCAGGCTGACACACCAACTGCACCACAAAGCCAAAGCTTCCAGGCTTTCTTTCCTGGGGATAAACGCTCTTCTTTCCTGTTTTCAGCCCTCCCTCCCCACTGCCAAAATTGCATACATACAAAGATTGCATACATACAAAGATTCCTCCCAGAACAAAGCTGCCAGCACAGAAAGCTCTTGCTGTTCATTGAGCGCCCAGGCTGACTCACCAACTGCAGCACAAAACCTAAGCTTCCAGGCTTTCTCTCCTATGGATAGAGGTTGTTGTTTCCTGTTTTCAGCCCTGCCTCCGAACTCCCAGGCCTATTCCCAAAATTGCATACGGACGAAGATTCCTCCCACATCAATGGGTACCAGAACAGAAAGCTCTTGCTGTTCATTGAGTTCCCAAGCTGACAAACCAACTGCACCACACAGCCAAAGCTTCTATGCTTTCTTTCCTGGGGATAAGGGCTGTAAAACAAGAAGATGCAAAAAGGAGCTCCAGAGTCAAAGACACATCCTCATGGAGGTACAGTCAATGCTCTAACTTTATTCCAAAAATACACACATTATCAAGGGTCCTACAGGGTTCACATGCTCTATTCTACCTTTCTATTGGTTACATTCATTTTCACACACTATATCTGTAACTTTATTGGCTCTACCAGCCAAGGCACATTTCCAGGCCCCCAATCTTCTGGTTTCTCACACCCTGGATAACATCCTCCTTCCTTGTTTCTTCTATGCAGCTTTCTGATATCTGCTGCTCAAGGACACACATTTGCTGCTGGAGAACACAGGTCCCTGCCGTCCGATATGCAAGCCGGATTGTGCAAGCAGGCCTGAAGCAGTATGTTATGTCCTGCATCATCTAAGATACTCTCAACAGGGCTGTTGTTTCCTGTTTTCAGATCTGCCTCCCAACTGCCAGCCCGACTCCCAAAATTGCATACGGATGAAGATTCCTCCCAGAACAAAGCTGCCAGCACAGAAAGCTCTTCCTGCCCATGGAGTCCCCAGGCTAACAAACCAACTGCACCACAAAGCTGTTGCCCGTAAACAAAGACACAAACCAACAAAGTGCCGGTTTATGGGTGCTTTATTCGGGGCCCCGGGAACCTGCGGGCTAACGCCACAAGACAGGGTTCCAACGACCCTCGTTCTCAGTTCAGCTTTTATACACAAACAAGTTTACATGTATTCTCACGGCTAAAACAATTACAGTTTCTATAGCAAACCAGGTGCAGTAGTTTATAACAATTAACAATCATCTACTCTAATCATAAATCTGCT